TCATTTTAAAAAGTTCCACTGGCGGATTATTTCACTTATAACAAGACATTTTTTCATGTTATAAGTGAAAAGATGTTTGCACTAGACCAAAAATACTTGGTAAATTGTTGGGTTTTTGTAGTGCAGATTAAAGGAAATATGCAACTGAGTATGATTTTAAAAACCATGTTTAAAAGAAGCATCTATATTTGTTCCAGTTTCTAGTGCAAATATCTCAGTACACTTGAAATAAGACAAAGCTAACTTAGAAGTATCTTTTCAGCAATATTTAGGCGCTTGTTTTAAATCAATAATTCCTTAATATTGATGAAAAACTATCACTGTCCACTGTCAGATTATTTTACACAAGCCATGGGTAAAATGTCTTATTAGTATTAAAAAAAGGAAATTATTTACTTAATAATCAATCAGATCCAGGAGGAGGGTCATAACGCTGCCAATCACCCTCGTGTGGCGCTGCACATCACCCCATTTTATTCCCTCATTTGACTTCTGCTACTCTGCAGCTAGCATAGCCGCTACTGACAGCAGATAAACTGTTTTCCTGTAATGGTAATTTGTTTAGCAGCATGTACACAGGTTGATTGACAGCACTAAGACCCTCCTCATGCTCCTGATTGGTTGTTTTTGGTCGGGAGCAGTGAATTTCTTCAGGCAGCAATAGTAGCTCCTGGAGGAAGTTGAGGAGATTGTTTTTCTTTTTTTTTCAGATTATTTCTCTCACATTATACTGTAAAAAGCAAATTCTTTATAAACGTTGCTGCAGTTTTAACTGAGAAAAATCTTGGAAGTATTCAATATGTATTTTTCTCGGTGTGGGGGATTTACCAATTTGTGTGGAGAAGTTTGTTATTCTTCTCCATGGTAATTTCAGGAGGTCACTTTAAGTCTCTGTCCTCCTTTGCCTCATGCAGGGAAAAGCAGATATTGACGAACACCTGCTGCTTTCCTCACATCCTCCTCACTCTGTTTTTCATTTCCAGGTGTTAAAGAACCACTTGCTTCTTTTCCGTCTGACCCAACAGCACCTCCAGCTCGGCTTTGACATGTACGAACAGCTTCCCGCCATCAGGGCGAAGCGTTTAGAGACCGTTCTCTGTCTGCAGGATGACAGCGGAGCCTGACTTGATGCCCACCAGTAACATGAGGGGAGTTGGAATAAAAAGAGACGGGACGAAGCTGTAAACATGTCAAATTGCATGCTGGGAGGGAAAGCTAGCAGTGGGAGATTGTGTGATGTCAATTGCCCTGGAAATGGCACGGTCACTGAGACTTTTCTGTGTCCTGATCCAGCAGCCGAGCAAGAGAAGAATCAAATCCTATCCGGACTCAGCCCAGCTGTACAAATAATTCAGAGAACACCAAAGTAGAAAAATCCCTTTTCAGTGACAGCCAAAGGCCAAACGCTGAGAAATGAAATGCAGATGGGACAGAGCGGAGGTGCTGCAGTCCTCGTCTCCATGTGACTTCAGCTTTTTGCCAAAGGGTTTCTTGCACTTGAAAAGCCGCCCAGGACAGAGTTTGGAGCTGATATCCTGCTCTGCAAGGGCCTGAAATGTTCTCATTATCTGTGAATAAAACGTCCCTCTCCGATGACCACAATGTGAGATTTTGTTTTTATTCAATGTTTGTACTACAACCTTATCTAAAGCATTTATTTGAATTGAAACCAAAGTGAAAACTAGCAGAAAAAGAAACCCCAAACTCTGGAAAACAGCTGTTTCAACTAAATTCATTAAAACTTCACTGACCCAATGCAGCTTCAGGCCCCAGCTTGGTCACGTGTTTTTGATTAAAGTTCAGTTTGATTACGTGGCTTTAATGTCTTATCACATAATAAAGGAGGAAACACCCTTTAATGCCATTTTATGTTCAGTTTTGCCATTAAAAACCTCTCAGATGGAAGTATGGAGGCCCATCGCTGCCTTAATCAACATCTGGCTCAATAAATTGAATTAACAAAACACAAATTCTATAATAGTTACATGTCAAAAAAGTTATATATTTTTAATTGTGAACTGTGTAAATGTACTGAAATAAAAATGGGTATATATTTTTTATTTTTGATTTTCATTCCTATTTTTCCTTCCTTTTTTGTATTTTCATCTAAAATACAAAATGGCCAGTATCTAATAAATGATCTGTTAAATCAACATGTTAATTTAAATGAAATAATTGTGTTAAATAATTACAAAATATATGTATAGTAAATATTTCCATATATCAGTTTATTAAATGGTCAATTAATTCAAGTTTTAAATAATCATCTAATTTTAATTATGTGTAATTATATGCATAATATAAAAATTTTAAGCATTTTAAAAAGCATGTATAATTCTCCTAATATTTCTTTCATATTTTTTGTGATGTAATAAAATTAACTCTGTGTATAATGCTAAAATAAATACTCAGCATTCAACACATAATATATTACAAAATGTTTTTTATTTTCACATTTAATAGATTAAAATGTTTAAATCCTAATGTATCAATATCCAGTTTTATTCAAATGATCAAATTTAAATATTGAATTATTGAAATGAAGATAAAGGTGAAATAAAGTAGATGTTTTTATAACTTGATGCCAGATTTTATAGATCTAAAACGATTTAAGTGTTTTGTTTACATTGTTGCCATAATTACTTCAGTAATCTGTTCATTATTATTTATCTTGGTTACGAGAGCTTTTTTCATGCAACATAAATGTTCACATGTTTAGAAATTTCTGACATTATTTTTAATTAGCAAAACAACATCATAAAACGCTTAGTTGGTAACTTTCTGGTGTGTTTTGTGTTTATATGCTGTTGGAATGTGAGCAGTAAATAAACATTAAAGCAAACATGCTTATAAATTAATTTATGAGCCATAACCCACCTATTTCTATAAATTCTTGGTATTTATATGTTTTATCCTGACTCTTCGGTGTAATTATTTTATATCTGGTTGAAGACAAAGACTGCCTGTGGATGCTAATGCTGATCACAAGCTTCGCTCCACATCTGGTCTTAATTTGACCCCATAAATTGGGCGAAACATGTAAAACTGGTCCGCAGACGATAAGCGAGGAATCTGCTTTAACTTAACCCCCAAAGTGGTCCAGTGCAACTCAGAAAAGAACATTTCTATGTAGAAACTGTAACGTTTTCTCTTCTGGTTAATGCATAAATGTGTCTTTGACTCAGAGGGTTGAAGCTGTCAGATATGATGCTAAGCTGCTTTAAATGTTCATGTAAAACCTGAAAACTACTTAAAATTATTGGAAATACAAGTAGAGTTTAGTTTGTGGACATGAATATTTTCTAAAAATACCTTAACTCACATTTAAATGAGTGATCGATATGTTTTCAATTAAGTAGAAGAATGCATATTTAATATTAGGTAAAAAAAAAATTGTAAATAAATTGTACAATGAGGACAAATTTACAACATGTGAGTCAATAATTCCTTAATATTGAAGAAAAAGTATTTGCTCCACTGCAGATTATTTCACTTGTAACATTTTTCTTCTAAGTGAAAGATATTTGCACTAGACTAGTAAAATGTGTTATTTTTTCAGTGCAGATTACAGTGTATGATTTAAAAAACATGTTTAAAATAAGCATCTATATTTGTGCCACGCCACAACTAATATGAAGTACAAGAAATAAAATAAAATCTTTGCACAATTATGCACAAAACATTTAAAATATTTTCCTTATTTTCAAAATAAAGCATGAGGAAACATCTCAACGTTGCTTAAACTTGTTTTAAGTTACTGAAAAAAAGTTGTTGAAGGGAAACCGAAGTGTAATGCCGCTCTGAGCAAGTGTCAGAAACTTTAAACTAATCTGTGTTGACAGATTAGAAAAGAAACATGGAGCTTTTTCTGCTTTGGGTCCATTTGGTTTCAGTTTGTCTGCATTTCTCAGAGTAGGAAGACAACTTTTTACAAGACAATTAGAAGAACAAAACCTCCTGAGAGAGTTTTGTAAATTGAAAGAATTCAGCATGTACTGTTGTTGCACAAAATTTTAATTACTTAAATATCTGTCTTTATGTCAGTTTCATGTGAGAAAAACATCCTTGTGATGCGAGGAGAAATGCAAAACGACCTGCAATATGATGTTCTAATATTTTGATTAGTGTTTTTGCTTTCTGAATGAGACAGAGGAAAGACGAAACTCAAAGATGAACAAAAATATGTGATATCCAACTTCTAAAGAAAAGGATGTAAAAAAAACAGTTTTATCGATATTGACAAGAAAAAAGAGGGAAAGGGGAAATCCAGAGATCACAGAATTAGAGGAACTCAAAGAGGTAACATCTGGGAGCAAATTAAGCAATAATACGAGAAGGCACTGAGAAACAAAGAGAGATTTTGTCTGCAGCATGGAGAGAATTTATAAACGGCTGTAAGTGATATCAGAGAAGTGACACTGCACACTGGTCCTTTTTGTTAAGTTTACCCCGAGGGAAATCACTAATTTAGGGAAGATGCACTTTTTTATACTTACAATTCAATAAAACAAACCAAATTTATATTTTCATTTCATTTGTTTCAGATGTTAGGATATAAAGTTGCAGTAATAGATGCCACATTGGAATTGTTGAACCATTTATTTCAAGTGATATATATTCAAATTCTTCCTCTTTAGGGTCCAAAAAGGCATAAGATACCAGCAAACTAAACAGACATGTGAAATCTGTGGCCTTAAATGGCAGAGACAAACAGGTGATAAAAATAAAGATTTAAATAACGCTTTAATAAATAAAACTGAGCTTCAGTGATCATGATAAATAAATTGTTATGTAAAAAGGTAGTGGTGATAAAAACAATTAATCGACGTCTGATTAATTGTGAATTAATGGTTTACTAATTTAAAATGAATCCAATTGATGAACTAATAACATCCGCTTTGACCTGGTTTTAATGTTGTAGTTTGGCCGCCATTCACCAGATGGCGCCGCTGGTCATCCTTAAGCGGAGCGACACACAGGAACAAATATGGCCTCTGGGCTAATCCACATCGGGAAAGTAAAACCCTTCAAACATAGTCCGCTGTGGGACATATAAAAGTCACTTTTAAGCGGTTCTGTTTTGAAATATAAACACTCGACAAACTTTTAAAATTTAACATCTCAATAGCGCTAATTTAGCAGAGCTACGTGGCGGAGCAGCTTCAGTTTCTGCTAATTGACCTTAAGCTCTCGGCTTTTCCCGGAGCTCTTAACATCCCGGCTGTCAGCCACTTCCTTACTGGAGATGTTGTTTGCACTTCTGCTTATAAATCTTAAACTGAAAGAGAAACGAACACTGCTGGATCTGCTCGCTCAAAGGCTGGTGATCGATGTCTTAACCCAAAAAGAAGAACAGATGGTGGGCTGGTTCCCATAGCAGCGCTGTCGATCTCTGCACCCTCCGATGGCCACCATTGCACTATAACATAAAAAGGTAAGGATAACTCAACGTATACTACTGAACGCATATAACATGAAACACATTTTAATCTGCCTTTTTTTCCACAGCTGACAAAAAGCAGAAACCTCCTCAGAAATCCGCTGTGCTACATGCAAGGTGAATTCAATAAATTTATTTTTGTCACCATGCTGTGCAGGAAAAAAATAGATGGATGACTGTGCTTCAATTGAATTATAATTGGCATTGAAAATATACTAGATTTTTTTAAAAACTCTGATTTAAAATGTTAATTTTCTGCATATTAGTCATATTTGAAGTTGGCCGATTTCCTAAATTTACAGGAGAACAAAACTATACAGAAAGAATAAAATAAAATAAACATCTCTAGGCTGCGCAGGGATGCAGTTGGTAGCAGTTACCTTTGAGTTTTGGGTAGAATATATTTACATACAAAGGTTTTATGGGGTTTTTGTCTTAAATGAAAAATGTATATATATTTTTTGTACATTTTTTACTTAATTACTGCTCTAAATACATTGTTCTTTCACCACTTTGCCTTTTTCTTAGTCTGTATACTCCAGTTAATGATTGATTACCAAATTAAGTAACGATTATTTAAATAATTGAATCATGACGATGAATATGATTAATAATTTCAGCTCTAATCATTTACTTTCCATTAGCAAACACAATTTTTAGTATTTTATAGTTGCAGGCGCTACATGTAACACTGATTTTAGACGCAATAGTAACATGTTGATGTTAGAAGTATTTTTTTCACTGCAGATGTTACAAATGGTCAAGCGTAAACAATAAATGAGTGATATGTTGTGACATTTCAGGTGATAAAATGTTTATTCTTTTATTCCAGGAAAATAAACATTTTAATGTATTCCTAATACTCTATATAAAAATGGAATAATAAATAAAATATCTGCTGAATGTGCCAATATTTTTATCTGATAAATCGATTAATCACCATAATAATTGGTAACTAAAATAATCATTAATTGCAGTCCTACCTAAAAATTATGTTTGTAAGAGGCATAACAGGCAATGTTCATGGGCGTCGCCATGTCGAAATTCCTACTTCTGAACTAAAACGCCGTTGTCTCTGGTCTGATGTAGTAATCATTGTTCACCCTGGATTGACCATATTTGTGTTGTGATGACATTAAGTTCTTTTCATGAAATTTTAATCAATATATCGTTCACATTTTTAAAAGCTGGCTTCTGATCTAAAAGCCCAATATCAAGGTGACCTAGTCTTAAAACAGCAGCTTATAAAATTTTAGTTCTTCTCCAAACTGCAGCCACTTTAAAATGAATGTTCAACAATACAACCTACCGATGACACAGACGCGCCTGTGATTGCTCTCTGTCTTGAAGTTTCTTTCAGTGCCCACTGAAGGACTCAACTGAGAGTTTCCCCTACGTCATATTAAAATATCCCCCAGCACATATTGACTCTGTCTCTGCTGGTTTGATGATTGCAAAACAGCAGGAAACACATGAGTTTGTAATCACGATTCACACATAGCAATAAATCTTTAAAGACAGTCTTTCATCCTGTTCATTGCTGGCATAATTACCCTAAAAAAAAAAAAAAGAAAGCTGACACCTACTCTGAATGTTTGACCAATAACAGATAGCTGGCAGTTTTCACTCCAACAGATGTGACCAGTTATTGCAATTTTCAATTGTTTACACAGATAAATAATTCAATCCAGACAGTTGGAGGCACTACAAGCATGTTGCTGTTCTGAGGAAATGAGGACAGCAAATATGTGAATTTTCATTTCTAGAAGGGGAAAGCAGACCCAGACAGTTCATGAAGATGTTTAAGTCCTTACAGCTGCAGCATCCAGCTTTTATAAAATGCTTTTACATAATGGAAAGTAAATTTCCATCATATTGGCAGCACTAAGACCCGCCTCCTGACTCTGATTGGTTAAGCACTGGAAGGAACTTAAATTTTTTTTCACAGATTGCCTCTCATGCCATACTACCACGACATTGTGACAGAAAAAACATATTTTTGTAAAGTTATGTACTGCTTTAAAGTATTTTTAAAGTGTTTACTATCTAAAATACTTTCCAAAAGGATTCATACTCTGTTAGTGATCCCAACTTTTTACATGCTGCAACAAAAATCATTTATCTTTGTAGGCTGTGTAATAAACTTACATAAAATAGTGGAAAATTCAGAAATAGGAAGAAAATTAAGTTTTTCGTCATTTTCTTTCTATCCATCCATTTTCTATACCTAACCATGAAGGATTGTGGGTATTTCTCTCAAGTGGTCATTGGGTGAGAGGTGGGGTACACCATGGACAGAACAAACAATCTCACAAACACAAGCAGGAACAGAACAGCATGTCTAGTAGGAATATTAATTCAGGGTCTGAAAGGATTTGAAACTCGGATGAATATTCAGGTTGCAGCAGGTCAAAGAGCCTAAATATGCAGCCAGAGCTACAATGCTTTGGATAAAGCATGGTCATGTGTCAGAATGACCCAGAAAGATCCTGTCCAAGTCCAGGTTTTTCAAAATTTGAACCTGGTGTTCCTAGTAGCATTCAATTCGATATGACTTGAGCTATTTGCAAAAAATAATATTTGGTCTGCAGATGTGCCTTCAGCTGGAACAACAGAAACATTTGGTCTTATTAAAAAATTGACTCAACGGGGCCAAAAACAACGACACACCACACTTCATGCACTTCCACAAATGATTTCTCTAATTGTGTAATACTTTATGATGATCTATTATATAAAATCCACAAAAATACAGCAGAGTTTATAATTGCCTGTAAGGTTAATTGATCTAAATTGTTATTTGTCTCACTTCTGTCTTTGTTGGCCTCATCAATAATGGATAAAAAACAAGTCACTGGATGGATTTACCTAAGCAAATAGACACAAGCCGCTTATTGGATAATTACTGCAGGGTGACTATCTTCCAGCTGACTAAAAGTTATTTATCCCCAACTGATCCAATGAATATCTTATTAAAAAAAGACACGTTTTACATCCTGTGGTTGTGGAAAAGATGTTGGTCTTTTTAAGAAAAGTCCAAATAATTTGCATGCATCAAGCAGAGAAAACCTCCTAGGAGATTACAGGAACGAGTCCAACGCTTTGTTAAAACTGGAAGGATAGTGGTGACATTATCTTCGAAAGAAAGAAAGAAAATGCTGAAATTGGTAGAACTTGAAGGTATTTTAACAGTGAAAGTAAAAACAAAGAACTTGGACTGAACTGCTGTAAGAAACCCACTAATCAGTGAGGTTAACTGGAGAAAAAGACTTCAATTTGCAAGGGAACATAAAGATTGGACTCTGGGGGAACAGAAGAAGATCGTTTGGTCTGATGAGTCCAAGTTTACCCTCTTATACGTCAGTGACCATTTAACAAACACTCACAGACCACCAAACTTGAAATTAGCCCCACAATAATGCAACATCTTAAAATACACAACCCAAAATGAAAATGTGAGTCTCTAACTCATTGTCTTTGTTCCTCCTAAAGTGAAGGGTGGCGCTGTTTTGTAAATGTGATTGGGTACAATAAACCCATGAAAAAGCTGACTCTGGGCATTTTGAATTATTTACAGATCCTGAAAGTATGGATTCCAAGATGATATAAAACACATGGAAATCAAAAAAGTTATTTTCTGCCAAGTGTTGGGTACATTTTAGGGCTATTTGTAATTTAGAAACATAATAAAAGAAAAGTAGACTTGAGTTGTGTTGGAAAAAAACAAACATTTTCTTTCAGCCCAACCTAAGTAATTTTATTTTAGGTGTAAAGATGCAGTTGGTCAGCGTGGGGCGCAGCGCTGCTCACCGCCTCGTCACTGGGATATCAGACAGAGATCTGTATGAAAGATAAAAAAAGAAACTTATGCTTAGCTTAAGCATAAGTTTAATATCCAATTATTATTAAATCAACCCTACACTGCATGGTTGTTAAGTCAAGCCGACTTTTCACATGTTAATGTTAGAAATATTTAAAATGATTGAATGTTTTTATTGCATTTAGGCTATAAACTAAAATGTCTATTTTCCTAGTTAAAAAAGAAATTTAAATATTTATTTCCATCTTTCTTTCAGTGCATTTCTTATATTGTATGAAAACAGGCTTGATAATGCTAGAGAATGTGATTTTTTTTATCAGATTAATTGAAGGAATGACGGATTAATCAATAACTGAAATAATCAATAATGAGTTGCAGCCCTAATTATAAGTATAATGATGCACTGCGTCAAATAGGATTTTCCAGATTTTTTATAATCTGAAGTGATTATTCTATGCAAGATGGTGAAATAGATTCAACCAAAAAAGTAGGCCACAAATAAATTTTTGATGCATTCAGTGCTTTTCTACAGAAATGGCTTTCTGCTTTTTGAATGTTTTAATTTTTAGGAAAACTTCAGTAGGTAAAGGTGCAGTTATTGACGTCGTTCTCCTCAAGCAGCTGCAGTCTTTTGGAGGGAGTCCAAATTTGTGTTTTCCTGCAAAAGTGACTTTTGGCAATACAGTTTGTTTCCTGTTTTGGTATATTTGTTACACTTTGAACAGGATTTTATATTTTTTAACAACTAAAAATGTATTTAAAATAAAAATTTGGATCGTTTCCACTAGAGTTTGGAAGAAATGTGCTCAGCTTGACGTGACGGTAATGAACCCTGGAGCTTAAAATGAAAAGCATTGACAGTTTTTTTTGTAGATTTATCATCTTGATCAGTCCAGATCCAGGTTTTTTCTTTTAAAAACTACCTGAACGTTAAATGAAGTCCTAACCTCTCAGCTGATGTTGGTTTTACAAGCAGCTGAATGTGAACTTTGTGTTCTCTAAATCAGACAGATCGATGCTCACAGAGGTGTGTGTTTCAGTGACATAATGGAAAGGCTTTATGTCTGGCTGCAGTCTTTGCCCTGAAGATGTGCCAGGTGAATATACAACGCAATTTAGTGAGATGACAGGATTAGAAGTGCGTATTTTACATCTGTGTTTCACACATTTACATAAACAGTTTCTAAATGTTTCTCTTTGTTATTTCTGCGCTGTCTGTTCTGTCGTCTGCAGACTCCGTGTTTATTAGGCTGCACTTCACGATCGATGGCAGCTCCGCTCCCTTTCGCTTGGAGCT